AATGTCGAGCCGACACTAGTTCAATATTTATATAAAAAAAATCATTTTATAAATATAGATATTTAATACACAAGACGTCTGAAAATGTATGATTAAGATTTTTTTGTCTTACCTAAAATTTGATATTTAAATTAATTTCGAAAAACACACTTACCTTGAGAGATTCGAACCTAGGATCTCTGGATCATGAGTCTCCTACCTTACGTACTAGACCATTCCTTCAGCTGATAAATTAATAACTTATAGTACATTTAAGTTTGCCGACAGTCATTAATCGAACATGGCGCGACGTCGGCCCAACCTACACTAGCCGACACTTACGCGATGACGACCCTTAGCCAACGTCAGGTCAATGTTGGCAGTATGTCGGCAACCGGTTTTCACACCAATCTCGGCGCGACGTCGGCCCTGCATGCAGTACCTTAGGGTCCGACGTGATCTCCCTCCATTCGTTTTCGAAAAGGGCCAGGCGACTTGCTGATGGTGACGGAATTAATGACGGGTTCGAGTTCTGGACCGGGAGGCGGACCTCCCGCTGCGGCTCGAGTATTGTGAGACCCTCTTCGATCGATGTGTAGCCTGAGACTTGTGAAGAGGGGGTTTGGCGTTTCCCTGATTCGGACGGATCTCGCGAAGAGGCTGGTTTCTTTGCTGCTTGAAGCGCTGTGGAGCTGGTTGACGACCTTGGTTGTTTGATAGCTGAGGCGGTTTTCTGGCCATCTTTCGGGCTACCTTCTCGATTGTCTGTGCTGCATTGGCATCCTCTGCGAAATTACTGCCAAAGAGGGAGTCGTCGATGGGAGCGGCGTCAGAAGCGGTCTTGCCCAGAAAATTTAGAGAGGGAACTATGAAGGCCCGCCTTGATTGAGACACACGAAAATGGAGATCTGCCAGGAGACGAATTCCGTCGGAAATTTTCGAGATTGCGGCCTTGCCCTTTACTGACTGAAAAGATTCTAGATCCAGAAGCCCTGCCATACCCGAGCCTATTGCATTTAGCGATGCTCCGAGTTGCGCCTGAGACTGAATTTGGTGCTTGTCTCGAGCTAGTACTGTGGCGCCCAAGTTTGGTAAGATTTCCTTATTAACCTTCGGTGGGGTGAGAAACGATAAATCGTCCTTTGGTTCATAGCTAGTCAGGAGCTTGTTCCTGAGATCATCCTTAAGACCGGAACGAACCTCAGATTTTATGGTGGATAACATGAGGGGAGTCCAAGAGGTTATTACAGGAGGTTGTGTCTGCTCTCCGAATAGTTCCGCGGCGAATGCGTCCGACTCGGTTCTCCCCTCCAGCTCGTGAGGAGATGGCGGGTTGGTAAATGACACATGATTGACTACGTTCGCTCGCGTTGGGGAAAGGTTTGCTAAACAAGAGAAAAAATAAAAGAAAAGAGTAGAAAACAGTAGATATGAGCAGTCGATTATGTCCCCCGTCCCTTAACCTCGAGAGGCCACAAAAAGGAATTCGCTCGTTGGGGGGGGGGGGACATACCTGGTGCGCCGCCCCGGCCGCTAAGGGCCGGCTGCTCGTCTATCTGTTCCTCTGGTGCGATAGGGACCTCGCTAGGCCTATCTAAAAATTTCGTGGTGTCCTCGGAGAGGATCAGACTCGCTGGTCTTTGTGTGTTGATCGGAGCCTCGCCGGGCACCGAAAAATCACGACTTCGCATAAAATGGAAGAATTCGCATAGGGTATCCCACATTTTCTCACGGGATGCTGAGGAAACTCTCGAAGGTCGAACTGGTGAGCGGGTATGTCGGCTAGACTTGGATCGGGATCGATAGCCGGGAGACCTTCGACGATGCTTGCGCTTGATCCTCTTTGAAAAAATTGGCGAGGGACTTTTCGACGAATAATCTCGCTGATTCGGCATGTTAGGAACGCAGGAACAGTACGGAAATGTATTAAAGAAACACTTATCATAAAGAACACTGCTGACTCTGTGCGAACAGAAAACATAATGAGGAAACGAAATGGCGCTGGAAGTAACGCGCGCCCGTGGCGCTGCGGAGGGCCCAGGAGCGCCCTCTTTTCTTCTTAATTTTTTGAGCAGGAACTGTGAACACTGTTGACGTAGCCGGCAAGAAAGCGTGACTACATAGTTTATCCATCCGGACGAGACCACAGGCATAATTAAAATCGAACTTCACTTGGTAAGTTCGTTTAATCGTTAAATTTTTTATATAATTTTATATTAGACATTAGAAATGTTGAGTAAAAACCTATATATTTAAAATTGTCCTTCGTTAAAAGATTTTATTCAAACAAATTCTTTAACATCGTCACGTATTACATCCAAAAAATATTGAATTGTCATTCAGTATCTCTGTGATTGTATATAACGAATCCCTTACAAATCTGTGGAAATTAAATTTCGATCAAATTGATCGAAAATTTCATATATTATATACCTTATTTGATAAAAAGATTCCATAAGTACGACTCTCTATAATAAACCATTTGACCTCTACGAGGTATTATTTTTCAAAACGAGTTAATACTATAATTTCCCCTTTACTCACAAGTATGGTGTATTCCTACGTCATTATTTGCTTTTTTATGTACCTACTATATTTTGAAATAAAAAAAGTTATAAAGCTAATATTGATTTGATTACTTCTTATAAAAAAGCTACAAAGGTATCAAGGTCTATAACTTGTTTTCTGAGATTTAAGTCAACACTGTGTTTTACGTACTTCATATCTAGAATGCGAAATTTTGGATTTGAGAGGTGAGGAAACTCACAATAATCAAGCCTGATTTGTGAGACTGATTTATGAGAAGCAATCAAATCAATATTATCCTTATAACTTTTTACTTAAAAATATACACAGAAAGTGCAAATTAATAACGTAGAAATGCATCGTACTCGTTAAAAATACGATATTGTAATGTTATCTCGTTGAAAAATATCTTTTGAAAAATAACGTTTCGTAGAGGCGAAATGGTTCATTATAGATAGTAGTATCTATGAAGACTTTTATCAGAGCAATAAGATCTACAACATATTAAATTTTCAATCAATTCGACTGAAATTCAATTTGCATAAGATTTCTGCAGGGATCTTCTTTTCCTTTAAAATAATTACTAAAGCGTAATGTTTAGATAAAAGGAGTTGCTATTTTAAAAGATTCTTTCGTTATTGTAGAAAAAAAACCGATTTTTTTCTACAATATATATTTATATTTTTCCTATTTTATTTAATTTTTTTTTATTATTACCTTAAAAATTTATTAATTATTAAAAGCTTTTTTATAATTAATTCTTTTATCGGTTTTTTATATTTTTATATTTTAACACTCGTTTCTTTACCATCATTAATTATATATTAATTATTATACTTTCTCTTAGAACATTATAATATATTTCTCAGAATAATTAAAAATAATAACAATAGTATTACAAAAATGTTTAATATTCAAGCAATTAATTTAAATATCTTTTATAATTATTTTAATGGTTCTATTATACAAAATTATTTTTTAATCAATATCTAATCAAATTTTAGATGTCATAGTAAAATTATTTCATTATTTAACACTTATCCGTACATCATTATTCGAGTACTTCTTTATAAACGTAATTTTTAACTTCATTGGGATTATTTTCTCCTAAATAAACTTTTAACGAATCCCAAGAACGTACTCTTGATAATGCAACGTACAATTGACCATGATTAAAAATATTTTTTCGAAGATCTACTGCAACTTTTTCGAAAGTTTGCCCTTGTGATTTATTTATAGTCATAACAAACGCCAATTTCACTGGAAATTGCCTTCTTTTAAAAGTAAATGGATATACATTTTCACAGTATAAAGTAATGCGATTTAGAAAAATAATTTCACCAATTTTATTACCTGACAAAATTTCACATCGTAATAAATTATTTTCTAAATCTAAAATTAATAATCGAGTACCATTACATAAACCTTCACTAATATTAAGGTTTCGAATCAGCATAACAACAGTGTATCTTCTTAAGCGTAATTCATGTGGTGGAAGACACGTTGGATTTAAAGAATTAAGATATTCTGTCACGATTACTTCACTTATATCTTCGTTATCACTCGTTTCAAGAGTATCTACACTTGTATAAATTCTTTCTGTCGTTTTATCCAATAAATTAACTACTTTTTCATTTATTTCATCGACATCGGCATTTCTTGCAGATAATATAACGTGATTAGCTATAGTTTTATACTTTTTATGTATTATAATATCTCCATACATGTCTTTTATTATATCCGAGTTAGCGTTCGCTATACATTTTTCAGGAAGGTGAACATTATCCGAGTAATCATTTAAAGAACCATTACCCAAATTTAGTAAAAACTGTGCAAATTCTCTTTCTTGTGGTAAGGTTCTTACATTTTCTGTCAAAGAAAATATTTTAAATTGTTTCCATAAAAAACTAAATTTTATGGATAAATTTATAATTTCACAACGCGTAGCTCTTTGTTTTATAGGTAATAACTGTCTAAAATCTCCACCAAGAAGCACGATTTTACCACCAAAATATAAATCATTTTGCATTATATCGCGTAATGTTCGATCCATTATTTCTAATATGTAACGAGGTGCCATAGGAGCTTCGTCTAAAATAAAAATATCTACAAGTTTTAAATTATTAGCTTCTTTAGACTGAACTTTAATGTTTGACGTAGAATCAGCAAAAAGAGGTACAGGCAATCCAAAAACTTTGTGTACCGTTCTTCCATTTGGAAGTAATGTAGCAGCAATACCAGTAAATGCCATCGTATTTATTATTTTTTTTTACTTTTAAGTAAATAATACAAAGTTGTATAAATAAAAGTTTTACCAGAGCCACCTGGACCATCAATATAAAAACAAGTTTCACTATTATTGTTAGTAGTTACCGCTGTTAAAATTGAATCGACTATTTCTTTTTGTTTTACATTTAATTGTTCATATTGTCTCGTACCTATGTATGTATCTTCTTGAATTTCTTCTTCTTCATTATTTATTTCTTGTACCTCTGTTACTTGCTCCATTTCAAAAAATTAGTTATACTCGATCCCTCCTTTTGAAGTAAATTAACAATATAATCATAGGTTTTTTTTATTCCCATTGTAAGTCCGTATCGTCTTAGATAATCTTCCGACATATCCCTTTTAAACTCATCCCATAATTTCTTTGGATAAACTGGCTGACAATGAATTAAAATTCGAACGAATAAATTACGAAGTCGTCTTGGCATCATCCAAACTTTAGCTTCATTCATTGCGCGATACCATTCGTTATCATCTTCTATGAGTCCTAATGCTAAACATGCAGCGGTGAAGGTTTGATGTACTTCATTGTTAACTGTCCTCAGTTCTTGAAAATTCTTCGCTCCTTTAACATGTAGTAAAAGTATACGTAAATGGAATAATTCTATCTGGGATGGACTAACGGAATACATTCGACCGATACAATTAAAATATCTTTGACGTTTTTCCCAACAATTAATGGTTTTACCATTAATTGTTACTTTTTTAAATACATAATGAGATGGAATATCACTATATAAATATTGTTTCGCTTCGTCATCTCGAGTATTTAATTCAAAATAATCCAACAACATTGTCATTCGTTCTACAGCCGATCTTATCGCACCATTATTTATATTCTCATCAATGATTACACTATGTTCATTTGGCAAATGTACCGGTAAACGAAAAATAGCGTGACTCTTTTCTTGTAAAGGTTTTCTTAAAATACGCCAACATGCTTCCACAGGTCCCACATAACGAGCTTCGATAAAATCTCGAATTTCATCATGAATTATCGTTTTATCTATATTTTCTCCAATAATTACAGATGCAGCGTCGTGACCTTTATAAATATATTTATACAAATATTTTACAGATCGTATACTCGAAACTATTTCCACATTAATATGACTATTAAATAAAAGTAAAAGCGTTAGATTATACGGAACGACATATCGATTATTAACAATATATCGTCCAGGTCTTTCGTAAAACAATTCATCATTTCGTCGACGATATTGTGGATAACCATCTTCATCCATGATCGTTTCAGATTGAAACTGTTTTGGAAAATGTTTCGAACATTTGTTGTTTATTAAACACCAAACTCCACATGGCCCATGAATCATATGTTTCATTACTACATTGTGTAAATTTGCATTTTTATCAGGATTCGGAATTTCTGCTGAAATAAATTTATCAACTGCTTCAGGATTCAATATCTTATAATTTTGTTTCAAAGTAACCAACAAATGTATGTGTGGCAATCCACGTTTTTGAAATTCTATTACATAAACGTACGCAAGAACTTCACCAAAAAATTTTTGTCTAACAATAATATCAATCAAATAATTTTTTTTTATATTAAATACACGAGCACATATATCTGGTCTATCTGCAGGTTGTTGATTTGGAAGTAGATTTTCTCTAATTTCACGCCAATTTGGATTACAAGTCATGGTAATAAAAAGATCCGGTTTTTCATATTTTCTAACAATAGCCATCGCATCTTGATAATGTTGCAACATATTACGCGGTGATCCTATAAACGTCGATGGAAGTATAATCATTTTTCCTATATGAGCATCATTATTATTAGCAGTATTTGCCAAATAATCAATTAATTCTTGATAACTTTCAGCTCGTAGTTGTTTTTGATTTTGTTTACAATAATTAATTCTATCTTTTTCAATTTTAACATAATTATCCACAAGCCATTGTTGAAATAATCGTCTTCCCATAATAAAAATATTAATATTATCACGTACAGCCATTCGATATTTCACGTAAGCAGTTCTACTTACTCTTTTATTACTATTTTTACATCGTAAATTGTCATGCCAACCTTGATTACCATACGGATAATACAATGGATAAATCCATGGTTCTACATTAGGATCCATCGTATTGACTTGTTGTAATGTTTTATCACTTTTATTATAAATCGTAACAAATGTTTCTCGAATTTCTCCATCTGCAGTAGTAGAGAAAACAGCTGCTACTTTATTCACTCTTTGTATATTATATCGACCACGATCAATACCTTTTTTTTTTAAAAATCCTAATTGTAAGTCACATACATTATCAATTTGCTGTTGTGCTTGAATTTCTTCATGCATCATTCGATACGATTGAGCAAAAATGTTATTTGTACGTATTATATTATCTATATTAAACGTAAAATTTCATCATCAAGATTCGAATTTCGATGTAATCGACATTCTGTTGCTTCATTATTATCCACAATAAAAAGTTGACCATAACTTGGCATTTCGTTAGATGTGGGATATAATGCAGTATTAATTTGATAATAAATTTGTCCTTGAATTTTAAAACAATAAGGTCCACGTCTTTGCGCACTAAAATCTGATATTTTTGTATTAAACGATGCGAATGAAAATGCATTGTTGTAACCACGAATACGATTATAAAAATGATTTGATTTTGAATGATTTCCCATAAATAATTCATAAAGATCATGCGGAAGTTGTGGTAAAGGATCTAATTCAACAGATCCATGACTACAGGAATCATAAAATGAATTTCCTTTATTAGCTACTTTTTCAGAATTAAAATGTTTCGCACCACAATGTTCACAATTTACATTCATTTCTCCTATATAATATTCTGTAATATCTTGTAATTCATTAATATATGATGTATTAATATCGATATAACCTTTCTGTAAAGCTCGTGTTTTTTTAATACGATCTACAACCTTATTTTTATTGATTATTAGATTATGTGAGGAAAATGTTAATTGTGATTTATTAAATACATTATTATTTATTACAGTAGTTTGTGATGGAATTTCAGATAATGAACTTTCCAATTCACTATTACCGTCTAAATTTATTAATTGATTTGATGTGCTAGGTATAGCAAAAACATTATTATTTGATAAAGTTTTCATAGACGAGTTATGAACATTTTCAACGATTTCTGTATTGTTATTAACATTAAATAATTTTATATTATCGTTTATTATATTAATTTCATTATTATTTTATGTTCTAGAAACATTAGTAATGGCTGATGTATCAATTGTTTGTGATGTAGTGGTAATTGTTTGATTTGCTGAGTACACTGTTGTCATAAATGAAATGGTTGAACTATGAGAATCTATTACTATGTTTTTTGACAAATTTGTAGAAGTTTGTGATACGTTCGAACAAATTTCATTAGTATTTAATGAAAGCTGGCAATCTTTTTTAATCATCATTCGTTTTTTTTCTCGTCTTTCAGCTTGACATTTTGCTTTTCTTTCACGTTTATTACTTTGAAATTCTTCTTCTTCAATTGTTCGAAATACTTTTCTTCGGGGCATAATTAGTTATTATCTGAATATTATTTTAAATGAATATCAATATAATCTGATATTAATATATTTTAATATTAATCTAATTTAATATTAATTCAATTTAATATTGATATAGTTCAATATCCAGTTTAATGTTAATTTTGTGTAATATTAATTCAGTTTAATATACATTTAAATTAATATTTTAATATTGTTTATAATATATTAACACAATAAAATTAAAATTAATTTGGTATATAAATAATTTTACTTTAACAGAAGTATTTTTTAAATCCAAGATAATATTAATCGAAAATAATTCCAATTCAAGATAATAAAGTCAATTTTAATTTAAGTCAAAGTTAATTTTAGTATAAGTTAAAATTAATTTTAATTCAAGTTAAAATTAATTTTAATTTTAACCAAACTATAATATGATTTAAATTAAAAGTAATTTTAATCGAAATAAAAACCAATTTCAATTTAAGTCAATATAAATATTAATTAAAACCAATTTGAAGCCAATTTGAAGTCAATTTCAATCTAAGTCAAGATAAATCTTAATTAAAGTCAAAACTAATATTAATACAAGCTAAAACTAATTTCAATCTAAGTAAGAGCCAATTAAATTAAAATTAATTGTATATATAATAAAATGTAAAATTAAATAATTAATATATTTTTAATTTAAATATTTCAATATTAATTTTATATTTTAATTACATATTTAAATAAATTAATAAAAATTTATTAATCTTACCTTTCGAAATAATTATCTTACCTTTTAAAATAATTTTAAAGTTTACTGTCTCTTAATTTAATATATTTCTTTTCGTTTTCTTCTTAAATTATAATTAATTAAATTATACCTTAAAGAAAATAATTCTATTGTAAGTATTATTTTTATATATAAATAATATATTCAATAAAAAATATATTTATACATATGAATAAAATATCTGCATGCAGTAATTTAGGATAAATTAAATAAAATATGGAATATAATCTAATTTTAAGATACATTACTCAACAAAATTAAAGGATCACTTGTCCACCCTACAAAAATAGGCAAATTTCGAGATAAAATAATTTCGTGAAAAATTATCGGTCGAAATTTTTAAATAACTCGGTGAAAAAAAATCATACAAAGCTTCATAAGCTAAAAAAAGAAATTGAAGATAAAGATTCACTCTTTCGAAAGATGTCAACCGCATTAGTGTACAATTTTTACTTGACTCCGTGGAACTTCGTAAATTTCATTAAAAATTTTGAGATCTGATGCATCTTCATTTGTGTTTGTATAACTTTATGAAATATGAATAATATGGTTTTTTAAAGTACAGATTTGAAAAGTAGAGATTTCAAGCTTTAAAATGCTTTTTTAAAAATCTCGATACGATGATTTTTCACGAAGTTATTCTATCTCGAAATTTGCCTATTTTTGCAAGGTAGAACAAGTGATCCTTTAATTTTGTTGAGTAGTGTATTATAATAATAAAAAATGTAAATTTATTTCTTTTTATAAACTTAACCAAAATACAATTATACATAGTCAGAAATTTGAAATGCCTATCACGGTCGAAGCTGGATCTTCGTTGCTTAAATAATTCAATATTCAATTACTAATATATACTATATATGTACTTGAATATATACCATATTGTAGTCTTTTTCAAACTGTGTACAATTATACATAGGTTTTGAGAAAATATATGTTCTTTATGTAATTAATGCAATGTAAAGATTTCATTTCATTATTTCTTTAAATAAATATTTAATTATATAAGGTGTCAATAAACTAAAAAAAAAATCATGTAGAGATATGCTTTTTTTTTGTTTCGTTATTTAGAAGAAAATTGTAAAAAAAGACAAAATGTAGTTGCTTCATTTTCACATTACCTTTGAAGTATTATTATTATTGAAATTGTATACGAAAACAATAATAAATTCGTTTTCTGGTGAAAACTTTTTTGTTTGTTTATATTTCTGCCTTTCTCTTATTAATTCGTCAGTTACTCGTCAAAAACCATCGAGCGAATTATTCCTATTAAAATATACAGTATACATATTCTAACATTGAATACGTTGACATAATTTTCTTATATATGATTTTTGCGACAATAATACTACAGATACAGTGCAAGAGTATATCTATTTCCAAACAGAAGAATGCTAAATCGACGAGTCATTACATCAAATATCATCAGATCAGTATTTGGCTGCAATATGAACTGTTGGTACTAAATGCAATGTTCGTATTATTGCAAGACCAACATTTTAAATAATATCTACATTAAGATTCTTAAGTATTCATTACAGTCATATTAAATAATAATGACAAATGCAAGAAATGAAACGTTAATTTTTATTATATACCATTTATAAATAAAAAGATAATTTGAATAAAATGACAAAACTGAAACATTTATAACAATCGATGAAAATTACATTTATCCCTCTTGATAGTTAGTAAATAATTGTAAAGATTAATAAAAGGCATATGAAATGCTTTTATTTAATATACATGCATAGCTTATTTGAATTTACAGTGCCTCTTACTATTTTTTACGATTATTTATTGACTATTAAAGAAAATAAGCATTGAGGGAATAAGCATAAGATTTTCATTCATTTTTATAAATATTTTAAAACAATCTCATCATTTTGTTTTATCCAAATTATATTTATTTATAAATAACACATAATCAAAGTTAACGAGTCATTTCCCTTTGACATAATTTAATTACTATAATTACTATTCAAGAATTTTAAGCAAGTAAATAAATACAACGTGAATAAGTAATAAAAAAGTACAAAAATGAAAACTATGTTTTATCTTTTTTGTAGCTTTCTCCAAAACAAAACAAAAACGAACTTCATATCTTTACATATATGACTTTTTTCTTAATTTATTGATCCTCTATACTCTCCCGAAATTTTAACATTTAAATTCTGAACACACTCTGTATAATAATTTATATAATAGTCACTTCTTTATAAATTGTAATAATTTATGTATTTCACATAACAGTAATCATAAAATCAGCTAAATAAAAAATACAAGATTGTAAAATTGATAAATGTATACAATATAGAATATCGTAAAATATATATTTTAAATAAATTATATAATTATTTAATAATTCTAATAATTTTATAATTATACACAAATTAAATAGAAAAATTTTGCAGGGCGTTTTAGGAATCTGCGATGTAATTAATGCGCTTATTTTAATTACACACAATGCTCTTACAGCAACTTAATATTCATACATCGTACATTTCAGCTAATTTCTAACCTTCTTTAGCGATTTAACACCTTATCATCTATCTAACATCCAAATCACATCCTTCCTTCGGCCACTCCACACATCTAAACTCCATACCAGTTGACAAGCTGAATGGTCATCAAGATCTATAAACATCAATTTAACATATAGAGAGATGCGAAATTTTTAAATGAGTGACGATCGTAGAAATGTTAATTATAAGAATTGTAGAAGAATGTGATTAATGTAACGAATACTCCTGAGGTTAGACATACATAGATCTTGATGACCATTCAGCCTGTCAACTGGTATGAAGTTTAGGTGTGTAGAGTGACCAAAGGAAAGACGTGATTTGGATGTTAGATAGATGATAAGGTGTTAAATCGCTAAAGAAAACTAAAAATTAGCTGAAACGTACGATATATGCATATTAAGTTGCTGTAAGAGCATTGTGTGTAATTAAAATAAGCGCATTAATTACAACATAGATTACTAAAACGCCCTGTAAATATTTCTATTTAATTTGTGTTGATATAGAGGAATCCAATTG